ATCTGATTTGCGGTCGCATTTCGCTGGTTAGAGTCGCTACGTGGTTGGAGGAGAGACACAGCAGCACTCAGTGAATATTAACCAGCAGCTACTTCAATGTTTAAGTAAAAGTTAGGAGACGGATTGGTTAAAAAAATTAGAGATCATACCACTTGTTTGACAGAGTTTTTTCAGCTAAAAATGGCAATAAATGTATGTTTAAACAAGTTAGTATTATAATGCAAGAAGCTTGAGAAAACATAGTTTGTTCTTCTTTACTAGTTAAAAATCGTGGCTTCTCAGAGGACCATGACTCCCAGTTACAGGTTATAATTAACATGTTTTCTTATTGTTTTCTTAAAATTTTCTTTCTGCCATCATTATACTAGTAAAGAGGTTCATAAATCTGTTTAAGCAGAGCACAGAGAGAAATAGGCAGGGCTGCAGATTTAAAGGTGAAACAGATTTACTTGGATATGCAACATGCAATAAAATATACTGTATATCCAAGTTTACCACAAAGTTTACAGGAACAAAATATGCTATGTTATATTTAAAAAGCAGCATATACATATTTTTCTGAATGGATGGAATTGCAATTGTACTTCTAGGGATGCATGATATATCGATCTTGGCATCGGAATCAGTTGTTATCCTTTATTTTTTTATACATAAATGTTTTCTATATATGTAAAGCACTGAAAAGCATCTCTATAAATATAAATATAAGTGTATTATAGTTCTCTTGTGTTCTTAACAATAGGGAAGCATTCATTCAGTAAATAAATAATTGAGCTCATTTTTGGAAAATAGAAAAACCCAATAAATGTGTTTCAAGCAACTGTAGGTCCATTTTATCAGAAAGTTACACCCTTGATTGGAACTATATAAATAAACTGAATTAAGGTGAATTGCTGGATGTATGACTATATTATTGTAGTGATTTGGGATTTTATAAACATTTTAGTTGCTCTTTGTGTTAAAACAGCCTATATGAAGATGACAGCAGCAGGCTGATTTCACAGCATGTTCAGAGCAGCAACTAAAGGGCTATAAATTAAGAACACTATTTTCTGTACTTTATTTAATGACATTATGGTTGCATGCTGTTCTGCCCAGCATTGGGTGCAGGGAGCTGACATAAACGCAGCTCCGCCTCACGTGCAGCCAAGAGACAGGCGCGCGCCTCACCAGCTGGGCAGCTGTGCGCGCGCTCCCGTGGCCAAATCTCCGAACGCAGTTCTTCGCAAAAGTTACTTTTTTTTTTTTGAGAAGTCTAATGAAATGAATAAACAAAAAATAAAAATGTATAATTATTCTTCGGTTGATGAAGACTTTGTAAAAAATAAAAATAAAAAAACTGAGAACCGTTTGTAGAAGTTTCGGGAAAAAAGAGCGTCGCACCGCTTACGACATGACCGATTCATGAAAACACTTTATGAAAGGCTGAAAGTATATGAAAGTTTAATAAAGGAAACCGTAGCCTACAGGGCCTGGAGACACAGAAAGTGGTTGATATTCCGTCTGATTGCATGTCTGCGCGCAGATTAAAAACAAGTCTCTGCATGCAGAGGCCGAACTTTGGCTTCTTTCTTATTTTTATCTTTAACAATACCCACAAGAGGAAAAAAAAAAACTAATTCTTACCTTCTCACTTTCTGGGATTCTTTAGGAGCAGAATTGTATTTATTCCCAGATTTATTTAGGACTAAATCATCCTCTGTCTCCTGGACCTCAAGCCCTCGCTGGAGTCCTGTTTCTCTCCACAAAGTTGCCCACTTTCCCCGCAGACAGAAAGTAAAGTCTGTTCGCCTTATCCAGGTGATAGAAACTCCAGATCTCAGAGCATTTTCTCCAGCTCTGATAGTCTTCTCTCCGCCTCCAAAGTGCCTGACTGCGGCTCGCCCAGTTCTCCCAGCAAACCAGATGTTGGCAACTTTTCACTGCGCTCAAATCTCTTTGTTTGTTCAACTTCTGCAGAGGAAGTCCGATTTATCTAGTAAAAACTGAGCCAATCTACTGATAACCTCAAGCTGAGGGGTATTTCTATGGTGAGGTTACTCTTCTCCACTCACACCCACTGTGCCAGCCTTTGACTTGTGCTGCTGCTCTTGGGGCAGGAAGCAACAGCCTGCAGTGATTGAGCTTCCTCCAGTGAAGCGCTCTGGTCTGTCATATAATTACCAATTTAACCAACCAGTGCTCCAAATAAGCAACAGGATTAGGGCCAATGAAAAAAATTAAATAAATTATAATTTCAGTTTAATATGAGGGGGAAAAAGTCAGGATTCTGACTTTATTTTTACAATACTAACTTTAATCTCAGAATTCTGACTTTAATCTCAGAATTCTGAAATTTTTCTCACAATTCTAACTTAATCTCAGGATTCTGAC